TCANAATTTTGTTGAGGAATTCCTCAATTTGATGTTGGACTACATGTGACAAAATTGAATCAAGACCAGATGGAATGCCTGTTAGTTCCAGTGGCAACACTGAACATAGAATACTAGGTTTGGAATGGACCTTGGAAGTCTTCTAAAAATAAATAATAAAATTATTTATTTATTTTTAAATAAATAAATAAAATAAGTTTTGGAATTAGGATTCCGCTTGATCTGATTGGGGACCTAAAAGAACCATAGGCTTTGATGTTGTAAGTAGCCCAGACCTAGTCAGATGTAGCTTGCTGGGATGGTACAATATGCTCCTAGGAAGAAAGTTCAGTTCACATGAAATCATAGTGGCTAGTCCAATGTGAATGTGAATGTTAACGATGCCCTGATCCAGAAAGCTGAAACACTAAAAAATGACTGTGACCCAAAGAAAAGTCCTTCCAGAAAAATATTTGCTCTTTGGCTGGTAAGAGGTTACTTCATCTGAAACCCCCTGAATGAATGATATTTATCTGAAGATGGAGTTGAATACATTATTTGGCCATGTTTGACTGGACACACTAGGAATTTGCCTCTGGTGTACATGCAAACCATCATCATCATCAACAACAAAAACAACATAATCTTCTTCATCATCATCTTCCTCCTCCTCCTCCTCTTCTTTTCTTCTTCTTCTTCCTCCTCCTCTCCTCCTCCTCCTCTTCTTCTTCCTCCTTCTCCTCCTCTTCTTCTTTTCTTCTTCATCTTCCTCCTCCTCCTCCTCTTATTCTTCTTCATCATCTTCTTCCTCCTCCTCCTCTTCTTTTCTTCTTCTTCCTCCTCCTCCTCCTCTCCTCCTCCTCCTCCTCCTCCTCCTCCTCTTCTTCTTCCCAATAAGTGGGGAGGGGGGGATAAAGAAGATCTTAAGGATAGATGATACTGCAGCCATACTACATGGGTAAATAATATACATAGACATTAGACATTTTAATTATTAGCTACTTTAAAACTTTCTAGGTAAAAGAGAGGTTCCAGATCTAACTAATAATAAATGTGATTCTATCTTTCCATCCACCTAATTGTGGTTCTTCAATAGAAAGGACCTTGTCTTGGATTCCTAGCTGAGCCTTATTCAGTAAATATCCCTTTCCAACATAGGGCTTAAATCTTTTCTCAGTTTAAATCCTTCCAGTCTTTATTAAGTAGAAAAGTCCTTTATCGCAATGTAATCTGCTAGAAGAAAAAGTGAGGAACTAAATGAAGAACGTGTAAGCAGTTGCATCTCTTGTAACGATTTGGAACAACTTAGTTATTTCATATTTAAATAAGAGAAACCCAGAGATCACTTGACTAAAGTTCATATCAATCTCCACTTTCCCTGGATGTTTGGTCCTAACGTATTTTCTTTGGCATCCTTTGTTTTTTCTTCGTAGTCTCTGCCTGAGTCCAAATGTGTGACAAATTGTCATCCTGGATTTGTCAAGCGGGATCGAGAAGGAGAACCAGTTTGTTGCTATGACTGCATTCCTTGTCCAGTGGGGACCATCTCCACTCAGGAAGGTGGGTGACTCTGGAGGGCGGAGATCTTGATCAAGGTGCATGTTAAAATTCATCTAAGGTTGGCTANTCTGGACTTCAACTCCCAGAATTCCCCAGCCAGCGAATGCTGGCTGGGGAATTCTGGGAGTTGAAGTCCAGACATCTTCAAGTTGCCTAGGTTGACAAACACTGACTTACATGAAGGCCATGCATGAAAAAAATGGGCAGGGGCTTCTGTCTGGGTGCACTTCGTCAGAAGCAGGAGGAAGAGGGCAAAAATCAGCTGAGGCAGGCAAGTGTATCTACTGAAGTGCAAGGCAGCCAAAAGGAAAGGAGAGACAGATGGGGAGATAGGAGCATGGGGAGAAATGAAGTACATGCTGAGGTCAAAATGCAGCTGGATTGCCAAGCTCCCAAAATTTTTGATCACATGGCTGTGAGGATGCTGGAACAGCTGTAGCTTTAAGGACGGGTGGTACAGATAGTCCTCAACTTACGACCATAAAGGAGCTTGTCCATTAAAGTCATATCATGATGGTCATTCAGCTCATATGATCGCTTTACTTAACAACTCATATCCCTACTCTCCCTGATGTGGTTGTTAAGCAACTGCAGGGGCCATTAAGCAGAGCACAGGGTCCCTCGTGTGCAGGAGGGACGTGGAAGGCTTAGTACAGGGCTAGGCCGGCCCGCCCTGGGCTTCCCAAGGCCCCCCCACCCTGAGGCACCCTGTGTTCTGCTTCCTGCTTCTCAGATCTAGTTAACTACTGCAAGAAGAGACTGCCTACAAACAATAGCATGACGAAGCAGCAAGAATGGAAGATGCACTGAAATATCTGCAATAGTTGCCTACAAGCATGAACTGGTGGGACCACAAAATAGACCCAAGTAAAAGAAAATGACGAAGCTGAAGTACTCTGGGATTTCAGAATTCAACCAGAGAGACAAGCGCCTGCCACATAACACCCAGACTTAACAATTAGAATAAGACAGACAAAAAAAGTCTGGATAGTGGACAATGAGTACCTGGAGACAGCAGAAGAGAAGAGAAAGAACTGAAGAGAATCACAAAGTATAAAGACCTGCAAATAGAAGTAGAAGAACTGTGGCAACGGAAAGCAAAGAGAGCACCGATAGGTGTCTTAGGTGCAATCCCAGGAGATCTGGAGCATCACTCGAACACCATCAGCATTGATAAAATCATCATCAGTCAATTGCAAAAGGCTTACATCTTGAGACCTTTTAATACCATCAAAGAACAACATTTCCCTAATCCAGGTCCTCGGAAAGGATTCAGTAAATGGATCAAAATGCCAAAGCCAATCTGAACATCAGGTTGATTATGAAACTAAGCATAATAATAATAGTAATATAAGCAGCGTACAAGTATCTGGGCATTTTATAGTTGGATAACTTGAAGTATGGACAAGTTAAAAATGTGATTAGTAAAGAATACAACCGAAGAGTGAGAACATTGCTAAAGACACAACTGAATGGTTGAAACACCATCAAAACCATCAATACCTGCACATTAATACCTCTTGTAATTATTAACTGGACATAAGCTCATCTGGATAGTTTGGATTGAGAAAAAGAAGCATGTGAATATTCATTATGCGTGACATCCCTCTAGTGATATTGATAGATTATATCTGCCTTGCAGAAATGGATGCAGAGGTTCAATTCAAGTCAAATAAGCTGCCCAAGAAAAAAAAGTTTGCATTGGCTGATTAAGTAAAGCATAGCCAAGAAGAAGGATTGGTGCAAGCAATGGACAGGAAACAAATGTTGAAATAATGCAATAAAAATACAAACTGAATGCTGGCAAGGAAAAACATTACATGCTCAATTTCTACAAAGATTTGAGGGCAATGTGAGTGAAAAGATAAAACCTGGCAATGGCTTATAACTGGAACATTAAAAAAAACAAAACTGAAGTCTTGATTTTTGCGGCTCAAGAGCAAGCTAATGCAATCAAAGGTAGAACTGAAAAATGATCAAATGATTCAAAGTGCATATTGTGCAAAGAGGCAGAAAATAATTGTCTGAAATGGTATAGAGTTTACTTCCTGAGCAAAAGGTTAGACTAGAAGACTTCCACGGTCCCTTCCAATCCTGTTACTGTTAAAAAAGAGTAGATCATATACTCAGTTTGTGTATAAGAAGATCACACAAACTGATTATAAATAATGACATAACAGAGTCGCCAAAATGATTCACTGGAACTGTAAAAATCAAAAACAGATTGGAATATATCATTGAAATAGTAGTCAAAATGAGTAGATTAAAATACTATGGGATTTCCAAATACAAATGGATAAAATCTTGGCACACAACACACACATTTAACTGTGGTTGAAAGTAATAAAATATGGACAATTGATGTGGCAATACCAAGGGATATAGAACAGAAGATAAAGAACTGTAGAAGATTACAAAGCATCCAAATCTGAAAATTGAAGTTGAAAGATTATGGCAAAAACCAGCCCTGATGGTCCCAATGGTTATTAACACATTGGGTGCCAAAGCAAAAAATCTAGTACATTGGCAACATTTCCAATTACAGTTACAAAAGGCCACACTAGTTGAATCTGCACATACTCTACACTGCTATAGTATGATATCCTAGATTCTTGGGAAGAATTCAGTGCACATGGTTAATACCAGCTAAAGAATGGGCAGCTGTGATTTCACATGGTTCTGAATATAATAATTTATAGTTATTAATTTTGGGTTGCCACAGTGCATAGTCTTCACTTGTAGAATAATACGTGCTGAAGTACTGTATCAAAATTGTCACTTTATGGGTCAAAATTGACATTTTCTTACCATTTATTTTACAATAAATGCCTTATGGCCAGTACTCGTACATGGTAAATTTAATTAAGAGAAAATGTGTTATGTATTCACATAAATGTCAAATTATTAATATAATACTACAGTCTATTAAAATTAATATTTCTTTAAATAAATACATATGACATTAATACAAACTATTACAAATTCCAGTATCCCAGAACCAGCCTCTTGGCAATAATTGTTATGTATGTTGATACACTAAATAAAACAAGATAAGGTAATATTTTGGATCAACGTTAAGTCAATGCCCTCCAATAAATCTATTTGCGCTAGTTGCACTAATTATGATTTTAACAATTATGAATTTCAGAATATTTGCATACCCAATTAACAACCTGTTTAAGAATTAAATCAGAACTACCTCAAAGTAAACACACAATCATATGAACTCCAGTTCTTGGTGTGAGAACATCTATTCAGGTTTCTTGACAGGTTGAAAAAAGTGCTTTGAGGGGGTTTGTTTCCTATCCAATCTAGTCTACATCCCTGGAATTCTTGGGAGATCCTCTGTCCAAGTTCTAACGAGGGCCAGTCTTGTTTGCCTTCTGAGAACAGACAAGATTGGCCAGGTACTCCCACCTATGAGGCAGCTCAAAGGAATCTAACGTAAAAGTAGTGTTTACCTTCTCTTGCTGAAGTTTAAGAAGCAGGCCACGTTGTTTTTTCCGGAGAGGTGGCATTTTATCATCTTCACCTTTATCTCGTAAATGTCTAAAAATAAGTAGCAAAAATAAATAAATTTCTTCCACTTCTGCATTGAATTATTTTCCCTCATTTTTTTTTCTTTTGCCGCTTTGCTTTTCATTATATTTTTACACTATTTATAAAATACAGGAGTTTTATCTCAATGTCAGCAAATGCATAAGGAAATGTGGAAGCCATTGTTTAAAAAACTTAATGTGAAGTGGGTGAGATAATTAAACGTATGATATTATATTTAGAGCGTGTCAAATTTTTCAACTTTCAATTTCCAAACATTAGGGGTGTCCCAAAGTTGTGAAACACTTTGGGGATTGTAAAAATATTTTGTTTACTTTAATATAATGTAGATGTGCTTGGTAAGTAACTACATAAATATCTTAATTTTTAAACATTTTGTTTGTTTCATATATTATAGGAAAAGTATAATCAATCAAAGAAGCAAAATTGCATTTGAATGATCTTTTTAAAAAAAGACTTGATTTGAGAAAAATATCCTCATTATGATATAATGTATAAAGTCATAAATACAAAGATGGGGGTGGGTGTGATTACAAACCGAACAAATTTAAAGACATTGTGATTGTATTAAAATTGCAAAGAATTCTCCTTTGCTTGCTATCTCTTTCATAGCATTCATGAAACATTTGCAATAAGAATTTAACATAAATTTACAAAATCCTGAAATCCTTAGGATTGGTTATGTTATACATTGTGGGGTTTCNCTTCTGCAGTGTCTGGGTCTCCTTTCTGCCCAGCTACCTGAGCACCAAAGGAAAGTCCATGGTGGCCGTGCAGGTTTTTTCCATCTTGGCCTCTGGTGCTGGGCTTCTGGGCTGCATCTTCTTCCCCAAGTGCTATATTATCCTCCTGAGACCAGATCTAAACACTAAGGAACATCTAATGATAAAAGTAGAGAATTGATAGTGATTTTTTTTCATGCTCATAACATTTAAGTATTCACTGTTATGGGGTTTGTATGTTTCCTTTACATCAGTGGTTCCCAAACTTTTTTTGGGCCATGCCCCACCTAAGCATCTCTAAATTCCTGATGGCCCCACTCCTGTGACATATAATTCTTACCTTACTCAAAAACTGAGCTCTACTCATGCAGAATCAGCCTAAAGGCCATTAACTTGTTTAAACAAGGTTCAAATTGCCCCCGTTAAAAATAAAATTTCCCCCCTGTGAGGCGTAGGCCCCACATTGGAAACCACTGCTTTGCATCCATTTGGAAATTTAAAACAAAAAGAAATAAAAATATGGAGAGTGTAGGACTATTTGAGGTGCTGCCATAAACAAGAGGGGTTCAACTTATTTTCCAAAGCACCAGAAGGCAACACAAGAAACAATGGATGGAAACCACTCAAGGAGAGAAGCAACCTGGAATTAAGGAGACACTTCCTAACAGTGAGGACAACTTGCTTTCAAAATTTGTAGGTGCTCCATCACTGGAGCTCTATGGAGATTTTATGGAGGTTCATCACTGGAGGTTTTTAAGAAAACCTGTCTGAAATGGTATAGGGTCTCCTGCTTGAGGAGTTTGGTTGGACTCCAAGACCTCCAAGGTACTTTTCAGCTCTGTTCTGATTGACTGACATTTTCAATGCTCGGCTGAAGCTAAACAACGTATTGAAATTTTGATCAGAAATATCCTGATCAGTTTTTACTGTTTTGTTCCAAGGGAGAAAATGAAAACCTGCCAAGGAGATCTCATCTTCAAGCACTGAAATATATTGAGGAAAATAACATTGTTATAAAGTTAAAAATTAATAACCTCTGGGGTTTAAGGAGAGACATTGCTGAAATGGACTTTCTGAGTTTTTGAGCGTAAAATGAGGCCATATTGCAAAGTCCCAGAAGAGAAAATGCTCTTTTTCCATTTGGCGTCAGTCATGAATAAAATTGCTGTTGGCTCAAATAAAAGTGGTACTAGTGAGAACCAGCAACTAGATAAAAAAAGATGTTGAGCCTCTAGAAAGAGTGGAGAGAAGAGCAGCAAAGGTGATTAGGGGACTGGAGGTGAAAACATACAAAAAGAACCGTTGCAGAAATTGAATATGTCTAGTCTAGTGGAAAGAAGGACTGGGCTGATATGACAGCAGTGTTCCAATATCTAAGGGGCTGCCACAAAGAAGAGGGGGTCAACCAATTCTCCAAAGCATCTGAAGGCAAGACAATGGATGGGAATTAACCAAGGAGAAAGCCAACATAGAGCTAAGGAGAAAACAATTAACCAGTGGAATGACTTGCCTACAGAAGTTGTGGGTGTTCCAACACTGCCGCTTTTTGAGAAGAGATTGGACAACCATCTGTATGAAAGGATACAGGAGCAAAAGCTTGGACTAGAAGACCTCCAAGGTCCCTTCCACCTCTGTTATTTCTGTTATTCTGTTAATGAAATGAAAACCCAAGATAATAGCAAACAATAGAATAAATGAATTAATAACTATTATTTGTGGGGGTTTTAAATGCTTAGTAGTCCTTCTTTTCTTCAGCCAATATTTGACTTGAACAACCTTTCAATAGAGGAGAAATATGAGGTCTCAATGTCACCGCCTTCATGTTTTTTGGGAAATCAGTATTTCCATTTTCCCAAGATGTGGGTTGTGCTGGAAAGACACTGGTAAATAGGAATGAAGTCATGTTGCAAGTTCAACAGTTCAAAGTGGAGTTGGTGCTCCTTCTCATTCCACTGAGATTCTCTTTCTCAGCCAATCTCCATTCATTTAAGCTCCAAATCACATCCTCTTCATAGCTTTCTCTCTCTCTTAGCCTCCAGTTCCAGCTTCTCTGGGCTGAGATACTGAACAGACTTTCTGACTGAGGAATCTCCTGAAGCAAGGTTTATAGCCTAGGTGTCAACCCTTGAAATGTTGAACCTCCGGTGGACTCTCTCGGGGGCTGCCATTCAGGGGAAAATGCTTACAGGGATAATGAAAAACAGTCGACTCGGGACATGGGAGACGGACAACGAAGAAGCAGCTGGCTGACAATCAGCTGGAGAGCAGGCCAGCAGCAGAAGAAAGAACTAGGCCCAACAGAAAGATTCCAGGCCTTTGAGAAGAATAGCCATGTGGGTGGCGAAGGCGTGTACAGGGGGTGGGGTTAATATGGCGGGAAAGGAGAAACGGTTCTTGCTGCCTTTGTTTTGGTTGCTATGTGCCAATGTTTCCAGGCCCGCCAGAATGAAAAACAGTTAATCAAACCTTTCATTTCTATTTCTTGGTTTTGGAGAATCGTAACAGTGACACTATGCTTTCCTAACAGGATTGGCACACCCTTTGTCACTTCTCACTTGAATGACTGCCCTCACTTGACTGATTGCCCTCCACACAAATGAAAGAGAGAGCACAACAAGGTTCCCCTCAAATCAGTTTTCTAGTGCATGTGGCAAGAAACCAGGTTGCATATTCCACCACCAGTTGCGTGCACCAGTTGCCTCCCTACCTGCACCAGTTGCATCCCTACCTGAACAGGGAGGCCCTCACAACAGTCACTCATGCCCTTGTGACCTCTAGACTGGACTACTGCAACGTGCTCTACATGGGGCAGCCCTTGAAGAGCATTCGGCGACTTCAGCTTGTCCAGAATGCAGCTGCACAAGCGATTGTGGGTGCACCTCGGTACACCCACGTCACATCTATCCTCCGCGAGCTGCACTGGTTGCCTATTGGTCTCCGG